ACCTTTGATGACCAGCTGACCTTCAAAGACCACATTGCAAAGACTGCTTGAACTTGCAGGTTTGCATTGCACAACATCAGAAAGATCAGGCCCTTTCTAACGGAGCATGCTGCACAACTTCTTGTCCAGGCCCTTGTCATTTCTAGGCTGGACTAATGCAATGCTCTTCTGGCTGGACTTCCATCAAGCACAATCAAACCTCTACAAATGATTCAGAATGCAGCGGCACGACTGGTCTTCAACGAGCCCAAAAGAGCCCATGTTACACCTCTCTTTATCTCCTTGCACTGGCTACCGGTTGCGGCTCGAATCAAGTTCAAGACATTGATGCTTGCATATAGAACAGCCACAGGCTCAGCACCCGCCTACTTCCACTCACTACTACGAATCTACATCCCCTCCTGAGATCCGCTAGTGAGCAACGCCTCGTGGTACCATCACAGAGAGGCTCAAAATCACTTTCCAGAACATTCTCGTTCACCATTCCTGTGCTGGTTGAACGATCTTCCAACCCCTAATCCGGAATGCTGAATCCCTGACAATTTTCAAGCGACAGCTGAAAACGTATCTCTTTCGAAGCTACTTGACTTCATCATCATCATCATCATAAAAAAAAAAAATATATATATATATATATATATATATTTATATATTTAAAAATATATATATATATATTCTCTATCTATCTTTATTTATTCCTTCTCTTTCTAGCTTGTACTTATTTGAACAATGTCTAAAAACTTGGTATTACAAGCACTTCCTGTGTCTGTTTGCCTCTTTAAGAAGAATCGCTTTATGTATCCCCAACAGTAAGTCGTTTTGGATAAAAGCGTCTGCTAAATGACTAAATGTAAATGTAAAATGTAACAGTTGTGCCTCCTTTCTGCAACAGACCTGCTGTGCCCCTGCCTGTTTATTCTGCATATATTCGCTGTGGGTGTGTTTACATGCCTCAGCCTGCTCTCATAAGCCACGGTATCAGCCAATAATATATCAATCATTCTGGAAGCCTCACACAGTCACTTTAAAAAAATAATTCACCAAAAATCTAAAATGTGCTGAAGATGTGCTCACCCTCTAGTGAAAAAGTCCATCTCCTGTTGTCCTCTTACATCAAAATCCAGCCACATATTTGTTTAGAGCTGTTTTGGCTTGTAAACGGTGCTTGATCTGTGCAGAGTTCTCTCCTGATTCAGATGAGATGACTGGAGAAAGCAATATTATGGATTATGGATATTTTGGCCAGAAGCAATGGTTTGACGTCTTGATGGATTTGTTTCTTGCAAACACACAGCTTCTCAAGACATTAATTGACAGAGCATCCATTAGTGAGCAAGTGATCTGTTCCCATGAGTACATTTTGAGCAAATTTTCATTTTTGGGTGAACTATTCCTTTAACTCATAAAGTTATTGTTATAAATGCCATATTTCCTGTAACAAATATTATTTTAGAGTTACTGATGGTTTTGTCTGCCTATTCATTCCAGCATAAGTTTAAGTCAATGTTGATTCAGATAATGAAACAAACTCATCTACATCTTGGATGGCCTGAGGGTGAGTACATTTTCAGCAGATTTGCACTTTTGGGTGAACTATTCCTTTAAGGTTCAGTAATCTATTTTAAATCAATAATACTGAAAAAACACACACACCATGCTTTGCAGTTTAACATGTTTCAGAATAGAGCCCTTGGCGAGAACCCTGCAGAGTCTGGCAAAGGAGAAAGGAATATGCTAATTATCAATAATTAACATCTTGCCCGACAGTACAGTGAGGAGAAATTCACACAGCCCGAAAGAAACTGGAAATGCATTCATTCAGGGAACTTGAATAAAACTATAGTTTAGATGTTAACGCATGAAGCCTATTGCTTGGTTTCCTGACAAACCATTATACAGTCCAAATACAAAAAAAATATTCTGAACACTGACAAAACTTAATGAAAATGCACAAAAAAAAAAAAAACAGGAAAGCTTTGTACTGACCTGTTCCTCTGTTCCTCTCAGTTTGAATTCATCTGAGACCTTCACAGTTCCAGTGCAAGGACAAAACAGGCTTCATCAGAATTGTATGAGGTCCGTCATCTTTCCTCTGTGTCTGTGTTATTGTGAAGGAAAGAAAGAATGTCAAGGAGTTCGATTGCTGTCGTACATGCCTCACAATACTGTATTAATTATTACCCTTAGTAAGCAGAGTTATGAACCTGAGCTAAACTATACGTGATCAGTCTCTGCACGTACAACAACTTTTGGGCACACTTGACTGAATTTATGTTTCTCATCATCTTAAAAACTTTAAAATGTTCAAACTTAAATAGCAAATTATGAATACATTTCTTTAAAAAATAAAATAAAATAAAATTTGAGGATGATCAGTCAACAAGTGTTAAGGATACATGTGATCTTCTTCAATAGATGCTTCAAAAGTGTCCCAAGATGCACCTTATAAAGTTGGTTGACGTCCAAATTGAGCAGAACTGGCATATAGACAAAGAAGCAGCTCAAATTTAAGAGATTTAATTTGCGTCACATATTTTGATCATTAAATAATTTATTATAAAAAGTCATTATATAGACTTCCACTGGAGTTTCAGATTTGTCATTACTCTAACATGTAGAAAAAAGTCATAATAAAGACTGAGTAGTGTTTTTGAATGTTCTTTCATGAATTTCTTCCCTTGTGACAAGTAGCCCCGGCATGTTCAGAGAGATTTACATTGTGGAAAAAGTCAAAAGATCACTCACTGTCTGGGATACATTAATAGGAGGTTCATCGTGGTATTGGAATCCATTTTATGAGATTCTTAGATCTGATTATTGTTATGCATCGTGTAACATCCAGTGAATTTTATTCGATCTATATTGCAAATACACAAGGCGCAAGTTTAAGGACCTTTATGACACATTCCAAGAACAATCAAATAAAATCTTTGAAGGTGTAGCCTCATGTTCAGCCCTGCAGATTTAGTGGCTTTATATGTCGGTGCTACAGATGTGTTATAGCCTACATTCCAGAACTGTTTGTCTAATTATTTTACGCATTTGATATCTGTTTTTACCCAATTCTACAGTCGATAATTCATTTTGTGCAGAAGTAAATCCAAATTTGTTTTATTTTCATCCTCTGCATAAAGAATCACTAGGATTGCGAAATGTACTTTACCATGGCAAAGGCCTAGTTTATGAATAATAATGAGCTCCATTCGCCGTTGGCGCATTCTTGAACTGTCCAATCACATAACTTCATTAATATTCAAATTAGTCACTGACCGTTGCCCACGCACGTAAGCCAATCAGATTCGCCAAGTGAGCGAACGTCCCGTTACGTAATTAATATTCATGACCTAAGCCTTCCCCGTATTAGGGTTCGTACAGCGGGTTTCGGTGTGTCCGGTCCGGGGCGCTGTTGGGCTGGATTTTACGGTTGGAGACATATTTTCTTTCATTACTTTCTCCCCTGATCTGCAGTGTTTGTTGAGCGTCTGCCCGACTGGACCTGCTTCATCATGGCCGTCTGAATTCAGATCCGAATCCCAGTCTTTTCTCAATCATCCATCCCGATCGCAGTGGGAATCGTTTCTCTGGGATATTACTTCATTTGTGCCAATGTTCAAACATGCAGCCTCCGCCAAGAAAGGTAAGAAACCAGCGTTGGAACAACGTGTGTGTTAAAAAAAAAAAAAAGAAAAGAAAAAAAAAGTGATTTGTTACATTTTCCCCAAGTTGCAACTTTGTATCGAGCCGCGGTTTGTTTTGAAACAGTGTATCAAGAGTTTTCTCGAGCGGTCCTGTTTTTATCGTTGTTTTCCAGCGGCAGCGGTTGAAAACAACGTAAGCCAATCAGATTCGCCAAGTGAGCGAACGTCCCGTTACGTAATTAATATTCATGAGCTAAGCCTTCCCCGTATTAGGGTTCGTACAGCGGGTTTCGGTGTGTCCGGTCCGGGGCGCTGTTGGGCTGGATTTTACGGTTGGAGACATATTCTCTTTCATTACTTTCTCCCCTGATCCGCAGTGTTTGTTGAGCGTCTGCCCGACTGGACCTGCTTCATCATGGCCGTCTGAATTCAGATCCGAATCCCAGTCTTTTCTCAATCATCCATCCCGATCGCAGTGGGAATCGTTTCTCTGGGATATTACTTCATTTGTGCCAATGTTCAAACATGCAGCCTCCGCCAAGAAAGGTAAGAAACCAGCGTTGGAACAACGTGTGTGTTAAAAAAAAAAAAAAGAAAAGAAAAAAAAAGTGATTTGTTACATTTTCCCCAAGTTGCAACTTTGTATCGAGCCGCGGTTTGTTTTGAAACAGTGTATCAAGAGTTTTCTCGAGCGGTCCTGTTTTTATCGTTGTTTTCCAGCGGCAGCGGTTGAAAATAACCCCGAAATTCGGCAGATATGTGTCTAGAGATGATAGATGAGTGTTTTAGACTGATTTGCCCTCAGATAACGGTTAAACCGTGCAGCCATGAGAGTCGTCTTGTGTGTTTTCCCTCAGATTGGACCGAGTCCCCACGCTTTTGTCAAATAGACGGATCACCGTTCATTATTCTCACCCTAAAGTCTGACATCGTGTTACATATCTCGCTTAAATGTGTCCAGATGTCATGCACATGAGGGAAAGATGAGTTTACATTCATATATCCTACAGAAAGATGTTTTACTGTCTCCCTCAGAGGTGACAGCAGAGGTGTTGGGTTTCAAACTCGTGTCCCACAGGCTGCATGTGAAATGATCGCGCGAAACCGCTGTGTTCCTATCATGCCGCACACATTTATGCATTTTAATCATCAGAGCATTGCATCAGAGTGTCAAATCCTTACTAAACGTGACGTCTGACTCTTTGCAATTGCTTTGTCTTGAGAAGAGAAGGAAGGCAGATAGCATGTAGCACACGTTTACCCCACAATAACCCTGTTATTTTGGCTAAACGATGTTTTCAAATGCAAATATTAAATAAAGATGCGTTTGCTTTGGTCGTTGTCACGCTGATAATGTTTCCTCTCTTTTGAATGCACAATAAAATGACGTCTAGCTCTTTCCAAAGATATGCAGGACACAGGATAGGCTACAGTATATGGTTTGTATAAATCATAGGTTAAAAGGTGCATGTGCTGGACAGACTGTGAATGTGTCATCTAATGTGTCTTTCAAAGCAAAGATCTGATCTGTGTTTGGCATCAGTGTGGATCTCAGTAAATGCCTGAATAAATGTGCTGTTTTGTTGATGCACTGATGTTTTCCTCTGACGCAAATGCTGCTGTGGATCTCTAGTGGATGCTCTGCATCTCAGAGTAATAATGCTTCACCTGTGCAGCTCAAAGTGTTGATGAGAGCCGTGCAGCCGGCTGTCAAACCATGTGTTCTGGTGCAGCCTGTAACATTGTGTCCTGCTGATGCTGGTAGGGTCGGAATCCGGGGCGTTCTGTATTATTTTCCATCCTCCTTGCCTTTAACCTTTAGGGAGTTGTTACTGAACCAATTATCTCCTCACCTGCCAAGTGGAAAACTTCTGTTGTAATTAACAGTTTCTCCCCAGATATTAGTCAACCTGCCCGGGCTCATTGGTCTGGTCCCGTTGGGATTTTTGCTGCTGAGTATCACACCTTCTGTAGCCACGTTTGGTTCAGGTACCAGTACCTGTCATTTAACCCACACATTGAGGAGAATGTGTTCGTCTTGATTGTTTTAAGAGCATATAAGAGAATAGTAAACTGAGAATTTACTCGCCCTCAGGCCATCCAAGATGTAGATGAGTTTGTTTCTTCATCAGATTTGGAGAAATGTTGCATTACATCACTTTTTCACCAATGGATGCTCTGCAGTGAATGGGTGCCGTCAGAATGAAACAGCTGATAAAAACAGTCCAAACTGCTGATAAAAACATCACAATAATCTACACCACTCCAGTCCATCAGTTAACATCTGGAGAAGCAAATAGCTGTGTGTTTGTAAGAAAAACGTCTTAATGATAGATTTGTTTATCAGCTGTTTGGACTCTCATTCTGACGGCACCCATTCACTGCAGAGCATCCATTGCTGAGCAAGAGATGGAATGCTAAATTTCTTCAAATCTGTTCTGATAAAGAAACAAACTCATCTACATCTTGGATAGCCTGAGGGTGAGTACATTTTCAGTAAATTTTCATTTTTGGGTGAACTATTCCTTTAACTCATGAATTTGTTGTCATCAATGCCATATTTCCTATAATCAAGATTATTTTATAGCGTTCTGGACGGTTACGGCACATAGTCATTCCAGCACAGAGCTGTTTGAGCTTAATCAATGTTGATTCATAATTGAAGGGTTCTTTATCATTCCACGACTTTCACTTCCACATACTTCAGGATGTGAGTGGTTAACGGTCTCAAACGAAACCATCACCTGTGTCTTTATTGTTGACCTCAAAGCATTTATGTTTGCAACTTCCTATAGATAAACCTAAAAGGTTTTTTTTTTCTCATGTTGCTGGTATGACACTAGTACACTCTGCCAATAAAGAACCTTTATTTTTATTCGATGGCTCCTCTAACAAACATACCATTTCATTATAGTGGAAAAGCATTCTTTCGATGATTAAAATGTTCTTCACACTAAGAAAATATGCTTCTTTTAAGAACTGTTCACTGAAAGGTAATTTTTTTTGTCATCGCTGCGAAACCCCCTTTTGATACAATAATAATTTGATACTTAAATGAAAAATTTTTGGACAGAATACTATGGTATGTGAGGATGTTACTCTTTCATTACCATGATATGTTCTAAAGGTGTGGCTTTGCTGATTACTTATAGTAAGTAGTTCATGAATTCTTCTGTTTTTGCTACGGTAAAAAAAATGGCTGATTTTTAAAACATTTTTAGTTTCTAATGTATTTAGATTCCATTAAATGTGGAATTTTAGGATGTGTCATGCCATTTTTTGGACAGAATACTATGGTATGTGAGGATGTTACTCTTTCATTACCATGATATGTTCTAAAGGTGTGGCTTTGCTGATTACTTATAGTAAGTAGAAGTTCATGAATTCTTCTGTTTTTGCTACGGTAAAAAAAATGGCTGATTTTTAAAACATTTTTAGTTTCTAATGTATTTAGATTCCATTAAATGTGGAATTTTAGGATGTGTCATGCCAGAAAGCAATTCCTATCATGCTAAATAACACATTTTTCTCATAATAAAAGTACATAATTCATCTTAACTGTTTTGATCATATCATTTAATCTTACTCAATCAACATAACTTGGAAACATTTCAGACATTTTAAAGCCTTGGAAGCATTTGAGACATTTTACACACTTCAGTATTAATTTTAGGATGATAAGATCTCTTCAGAAATGTCCATGTCAGCAGAAATATGCAAATCTGTTTTTCATTTTGGTACAGTTTTTTTTTTTTCAGTTGATTTAATAATGTGAGTTTTTAATTACTATTGTATGCTAAAAACTTACAGCACTTAACACAAAGCATCATATTCATCATTGTTAGTCCAGGTCCGTTAGATCAGGTTTGTGATTGCTCATCTTATAGTTTAGACTTGTAGAACAATATTTATCTATATTAGTCTAAACTATAAGATGAGCAGTATTATATTGTGTAACATACAGTGCCTTGCAATTATCTGCCATTCTTCACCTCACCTGCTCACCTCTCAAGCTCTGTCAGGTTGGATGGGGGCAGATGCACATTTTCAGGTTTCTCCAGAAATATTTGATTGGGTTCAATCCCTGGCTCTGGCTGGGCCACTCAAGGGCATTCACACAGTTGTCTATAAGCCACTCTTGCTGTGTGCTTAGTGTCATTGTCCTGTTGGAAGGTGAACCTTCTGCCCAGTCTGAGGTTCTGAATGCTCTGGACTGGGTTTTCATTAAGGCTAACTCAATATTTTGCTGCACTGAGCGTTTCTTCTACTCTAACGAGTCCCTCAGTCCCTGCTGCTGAAAAACAGCCCCACAGCATGAGGCTGCTACCAGCACACTTTACTTTTGGGATGGTACTCTGCAGGCGATGAGCGTAGCTGGTTTCCTTCAAACATGATGCTAAGAATTGAGGTTCATCAGACCAAAGAATCTTGTTTATCAGAGTCTGAGGGTCCTTTAGGTGCTTTTTTTTGTAAATTCCAAGTGTTTTCATGTGTCTTAACTGAAGAGAGGATTGAGTTTGGCCACACCGCCATAAAGACAGGATTCGTGGAGTGTTGCAGCGATGTTTGTCCTTCTGTAGATTTCTCTTATCTCCACATATGATCATGGAGCTCAACTAGAGTGACCATCAGGTTCTTGTTCACCATGCTAACCAAAGCCCTTCTCCATCAATTGCTCAGTTTGGCCAGGAGGCCAGCTCTAGGAAGAGGCCTGGTTGTTTCAAACTTCTTCCATTAAGGGTAACAGAGACTACATGCTTCTGTGACCCTTCAATGAAGCAGATTTTTTTTTCTGAACTCTTCCCCGGATGTGTGGCTTGATGCAACCCTGTTGCTGAGCTCTACAGGCAGTTATTTTGACCTCAGGGCTTGGTTTTTGCTGTGATATGCATTATCAGCTGTTAGGCCTTTTATTAAAACGTGTGTGGCTTTCCAAATCATACCCATTCAGTTGAATTTGCCACAGGTTAACTTCACTTGAAGTGTAGTAATATCTACAAGCAAAATGAATGCTCCTGAGCTAAATTTCAACTGTCCCAGATATCATATGGAATCATTTTATTTTTTTATTTTTAATACATTTGCAAAGATGTTAAAAACCTGTTTTTTTGCTTGACAATTATTTGGTGTATGGAGTGTAGGTTGTTGTGGGAAAAAAAACTAATTTAAAGCAGTTTAACATAAGGCAGCAACAAAACAAAATGTGAAAAAATGAAGGGGTATGAATACATTCGCAAGGCACTGTAGAATAGTTTAAAGCTGAAGCATGCTACTTTCACACATTGAGTGTCAAACAAAATAATGACTATTTTCAAACTGGTTCCCTGAGCACTGCTGGTCAGATTGTCCCGCCCCCAAACTCACGCCATCGGTTGAGCCAATGTTTTGAGTGACCGCATATCAAACTGGGTCAGGAAAAAGTTTTAACATCCAAAAAATTACACATTTTTTTTTATAGAAAGAATCCCCCATCGAACTGTGTCTGTCAGTTCTGTTCGAGTTTGATTAGTGGGAATTTTGCTCTTGTTGTTTGGAAGGATTGTGAATGTGTCGTTCTGTCTCATACAGCTGACTGGATCTGGAAACGCAATAATGAGCTCATGTGGGATATTGTATGTGTTTGTGCAGCCTGCATGTGCCATCCTCTTCCTCACCTCTAATGATGTTGTCTGGTCTTCAGGTAAAAGTGACACAGGAACTGAAGAACACGCATACGGAGCAGCTCGGCCGCCTGCACCTCAAACACCAGACGGAATGTGATTTATTGGAAGATATGAGGTAAGGCTTTAAGTTAAAACACTGCCTAAAACACACGCATCCATAAAAATAAACAAATGAAACAGGCCGCAGAAAAAGAGAGCAAATTCTCCCCATTTTTGAAGAGCGAACACAGGAGCGGGATGTGACGAAGGCATTTCCTTTGGATTTCCTGCTCGCAGGCCAGTCGTTCCCACAGCTGGAAGTCATAACTGTGCTGCTTTTCTCTTTTTTTCCCCCTGTTTTTTCTCTCCTTGGCTTCTCTTAAAAAGGGATTGCGGGATGTTTCAGAACAGGGGGAGGGAGGGAGTTAAAACCGCTGCGTTTGGACATGGAATTTATGCACGTCTTGGGCTTGTATGTGTTTGTACATGCTTACGGGTGTTTAAGAAGATATTTGACAGTGGCACACCCTCACAAGGGAGATGAAGACGAATTGTAATCTGCTGCAGAGGCTATTTTGGTGTGTGTTTGTGTTATGGAGAGAAAAGAAGTGTGTGTCCAAAAGAGATCGAGAGAGAGGGTCAGGATAGGTTAAACTGCATATTTTTACAAGTGATTAGTTGACGGACTGTCTAAAAGACTAGTCTAATTTAAGGGTGAATGTGTAATTTAGTTATTGCAAATAAAATTGCAAAAATAATTGGTTTTCTAAACACCTCTCCCATTTGCATTTGCAATTTTTTTTATTGCAAATTATTATTATTTTTTAAAACTGTGCATACTGTATTTTCCAGAAATCATTTGAAACATGTTGCGACTTAAAATCGACTTATATACTTATATTGCAGGTGCTTCACTCTGTCATACTGTATAGCTTTGCCTTTATTCAAAATATAGAAGGGCCTCCTGTACATTCTTGCTTAATTAAAACATCTGGTTCTTAAATTTAGTCATCTGTATGTCATACCTTCGGTTTGGAGAAAGGACCAACTTTATTGCATGTAAATTCTGCCAGCATCTTGCTTTGCATCTTTGCAGAAAACAGCTCACAGCACACTTTAAAGGATAAGTTCACTTCCAGAATAAAAATTTCCTAATCATTTGCTCACCCCCATGTCATCCAAGATGTTCACGTCTTTCTGTCTTCAGTCGCAAAGAAATGGTTTTTGAGGAAAACATTCCAGGATTTTTCTCCATATAATGGACTTCAATGGGGACCAACGGGTTTTATATAGTTAAACGATCTGTCTTTTTGTTTTTTTTTCGTAAAAAAAAAAAATGTATATACTTTTTAACCACAAATGCTCGTCTTGCACTAGCTCCGCGATATACTCCAATATATGGAGAAAAATCCTGGAATGTTTTCTTCAAAAACCTTCATTTCCTTGTGACGGAAGACAGATCTTGGATGATGGGAGTGAGTAAATTATCAGGATTTTTTTTATTTTGGAAGTGAACTTATCCTTTAATAGCTTTATGCCTCATAGCCAAAGACCTTCAGCTGGTGTTTGTGCTGTCCCCGACTACAGGCAAAAAAGAAGACAAAAAACAGTGAGACATGAAAGTCAGTCATGCCGTGAGTCAGCTAACCATCTGGAATCCTGCTGAATGTGCAGATCCCTAGCTTCTGCACTCCCTAGCACTCCATCTATAACCTTGGTCAGGCTAGACGCCATATTTAAAGGTGATGCTTGTAATTATATATGGCGTGAAAATGCTCGTTTTAATGTGCAGAAACAACTGCCAATGAAACATTGATCTGATTTTTTTGAGGCTTGTAAACTTTCTCAGCTTATTTTGAATCACTGTTTGCCCAAAGAATGGAAGTCAAAAATGGAAGGGAAGGTTGTAATGCATGAAAACCCATTTGGAAAGTCTTCATTTTTGCAATATCGTTTGATGTCACTAGTGGTGTAGAAACGACACACTTAACCTTAAATTTGGTGTGAAATATAGAAATACAGTCCGATTAAGATCTCAAACTGTCCAAGATCATATCTAACTTTGAAAAAACATAGCTTTTATGTTGACTTAAAATTAGTAAAAAAAAAAATATATAAATTTTTTTTCCCTCTATGGAAGCCTGTTTCCGCCACAGAATAATAAAAATTAAAACATAATTATGACTTTTTATCTTACAGTTATGATTTTTTTTCTTGTAATTCTGAGCTTATGTTGTACAATTCTGACTTTTTTCTTGCAATTCTGACAAAAACGGCAAGATATAAACTCAGAATTGTGAAATATGAGCTTGAGGTGCTGATTTGCAATTGCGAGTTTATAAAGCATATTGCAAGAAGAATATTCCAAATTGTGAGTAATTAAATTTGCAATTGCAAGTCAAAATTGTGACTTTAATCTTGGAATTATGAGAAAAAAGTCAGAAGTTTGACATAAAAAGTCGCTGTTACCTTTCTTAATCTTTAATTCTGTGGCAGAAACGGACTTCCATAATTTTCAATGTTGACTTTTCAGTTAATGCAAAGGAGTGGACTGTACTTTCATATAAAGCCCATTGAGACTAAAGCTCATCAAACATACAGTTAGTCAAATTAGACAAAATTTACAGTCACATTTACCAGTGTTCTGCAAATTTTCATGGTCTAAATCTAGTCATTTCGATAGAAATGTGCACAGTCGGGAATTTCGCTTGAGGTTGGAAGATTTGCCCATGCAGATTTTCCCCATGCATAGGATTCAAGTTGATTATGTGAATTTGTATTGACAATTGATTTGTTCCTTAGATTTGAGCTGTTCGTATGTTGTGTAATGTTTTGTTAGAATTATTCTTGTTTATAAAAGCGAGAAAGAGAACTGTTCCTCAGGAGGTTTTCTGTGCATGCGCTCCGACACGGACATGTAAAGTGAACTTTTAGCTTAAGTTGCGTACCTAAGCGGGAGGGTTGGGTACCGTTCACATTTTAACCGGTACGGTGCCTGAATTTCGGTGCCGGTACCCAACGGTACCTTTTTTCGGTACTTTACTCTGTGTAATTACAAAAACATTTATTTCAGTGAAAAAAATCCAAAAGTCTCAATTTCATAATTTTGAACAATAGAGCCTTTCAAACTTTTTCTTTATTTCTTTTTTTCCCCCCAGAAATTCATTAACATTTTTCTGAAAATCAAATTAAAACTTTATTTTAAATCAAATGAAAATTAAACCCTTTTATTTTTTGACTAACAAACTGAGGTTTACTGTTGAAATTAATACATGGAAGAAAAATTGTGTGAATATTCCTTTAAAAAAACATTTTATAAACTAATAATTGGATTTTTTTTTTACAAGTGATTAATCTGGTTGTAATATTTATTTTGATCATTTAATTGTTTTTTAAATTTGATAGAAAATGGAATATTTAAAGATGTACATTATACTGTACAAAAGTAATACAAGACTAATATATTTCTGTTACATGTTAAACCGTACTTCTATTTTGAAAGGTTGCCATCAAGTTTCTGTGTGTATACAGTATGATGATGCTAGTTTTCTCAAATGAAACGGTAAAATTCCTGCGAAGTGACTATCACAGCAGCTCTGGAGATTAAGTTTTTGTGTTCATGCCTCGAGACGCAGAGGCCGAAAATCACCGCGAGCGTCACGCGTGCTTCAGTATTTGTGTAGTAAACAAAACCGCGTTTCCGCCATTCATACATACAGAGGCAAGCGGAACATGCAGGAGTCATATTTAAACAGTCTTTTTGCATTTTAATATTCACAGACACTAGTTCATATTGCGATTCAAATTAAGTGGCAGTGGCTACTTTTGATTTATTAGTCCAAAATGTACGAATTCTGTGGCATTCCACGCAATAGAGTCAATTACGTTTTTATGAATGGACTCCACGATCCCGTCCGCGTTTTCTCAGAAACCATGTGGCCCTAGAAATGTAACCACACTTCAGAATTTCTGCTTGCCCTGTGTGTTGTTTGAACGAGTTGCAGGGGTGACATCACGTCACAGGGTCTCTCTTTCTCTCTCTGTAGCGTATGCGCCCAGATGCATTCTCAGGTACCGAAATTGTCACCGATTGATTTAATGTGAATCAGTACTCGGTAGTACTGACGCAATTCAGTCGGTACCCAACCCTACTAAGCGGTCAGATACACGTAAAAAAATTTCAAAATGCGGCGCTTGGTGATTATTATTCACGGAAACCCTCGTTGGTTATGTCTTAAGTGAATGCAAACATTTGAGAATGAAAATCCGTGTGTAACAGTATATTGGATCCGTGCGGCTCTTAAAGTGACAGCAGGCTATATTTCTGCTGCTGACTGTGTGCTTCATATTAATCAAACAACAAACGACAAAGAGAAAATCACTCACTGTTCTTGACTGAAGGACTTTTGTAACTTTAATAAGAAACAACTGAAGTTTTATTCTTACAGTGAAGACTATGCTGTTTTATTTTACATTTGATTATTTAATTTCTGTACTAAGCTGTTAGCTGAATACTTTAGACTTGCATAAAAACATAAAGCACTGTTTGTTTCATTTGTATCTGTTTTATATTGAATTTGTCCTTTGCTTTTATTGTTTTTATTTTATTACTGACTGTTTAATTATTTTTCAATCATGTTTGAGGACTTTTTTTAGTATGAGTTACCATTTTCTGCTTTGGTATTTAGAATTGTGAAAATTCACTGGTATCTAAAATGTAGATGTCATAGCAACGTTATTTACAGAAAATATATATTTGATATAAATCACTATTTTTAATTAAATCACTCGTATAAAGTTTTGGTCATGTGGCCCACTCATAATCATGTTAAATAATCGTGATTACAATATTGACCAAAATAATCGTGATCATGGGCTGTATAAGGCTGGGGAAGGCAAAAATGCCTCTAAATTGGACAAAGATGCCCCTGCACAAACAAATTAAATCTATTATGACTGTTGCTAACAATATGAAAATGAATAGAAAGTATCGATTGCGGCATTAAATTAAGATCTGCTCATGTTGCACCGTATTTAATTTTAGGCGTTTTTACAGTGTTGCGCATTATAACCAATCACACATGATTCTGTTGAGCTTAGGAATGCAATGGCCAATCAGAGGCGTTCAGATGAGTC